TAAGGAGTGGGGAGAATGGTCAGAGAAGGGAGAGAGAGAGAGTCTTTGAGATAGAAGAAAAACGGAGCAGCAGAGATCCGAGTGAGGAGACAAATCCAGGAGTTCACAGAGACAAATCCAGGAGTTCAAGTTATTGGCACTGGAGCCAGTGGGGAAATTCCTGAATGTTTGATTTTTCAGAAATATCAGAGCTGAGCAATAAAAAGAAGAAAGGTATTTCCAAGAGCACAAGCCAGCTGGGAGTTAATTTCATCGAGTTGATAAGATGTAAAGTAAGAAGATTGGAAGGCAGGGAGTACCATGCATCTGTTTAGGCAAATTGCCTGTTTGTAAGATTTGGTTTTTGATCTGCTAGGAAACATTACAGCTTTGCTTGTGTGTGTGTGTGTGTGTGTGTGTGTGTGTGTGTGTGTGTGTGTGTGTGTGTTTAACCAACGTTTTGCTAGAAAGAAATAGAAGTTTACTTTTCGGTAACGCCCACCTGAAAGGAAATAGAGAATGACACCACACCACCGCATCCCTCTGAGAGGAAACAGAATGACCATACTTTGGCTGTGATAGATGCACAGCCCTGTTAGTTTGCCAACACACGCGCTGACCCAGGAGAGGACTTTGGGGTAGCATTTGTCCTTGGATTGTTCTCCTGTGTTCCCAAAAAGATTCAAGTTACCAGTGGATGCTGCTGTGGACTCAGCAAAACAGCTGCCGTTCTGCATGAGAAGAACAACCCAGCACCGGTCCCCATTCAGTCTGAGCCTATAGACTGGCTCCTTATGTTGGCCTCCTGTCACCAGAGAACCCTCTCACAATCTTACTTGGGTGCCAGTACCCTTTTGTCCGGGGCGGGCCAGACTACCCCCTCTCAACTGTGCCTTGGCTCCTAACCCTTCATTCCCTCATAGCAGACTTATTTGACCTTGGCATATTCAAGAGTGCTTGGTGGCTTTAGCTGTGCTGTCCCTTTGGTCTGCTCATACACCCTGGACCCTGTGGCTTGGGGGCCATGAAGATGGTCTGGCTTACCCCGAACAATAAGACTTCTTTTCACCTGTCCTGAGATAATCTGATTTGCAGGTTATCCTTCGGAGACCACTTCTTACAACTCACTGACATTTTTCTAGCATGGATTCTCTCAGAATCCAGAATGTCCCTTGGTGCTTTGGCCAGTCTGTGTTGGTTACAAGTTAGCTGCATCTACTCAGGGTCTTGTCAGAGCAGGGTTCAAACCCTCCGGGAGATTCACATTCATCATGCGGATTAAGAAGAAGCCCAAATCCTCAGTTATTCTTAGGAAGGATACCCATTGGCCTGTTTTCAGTTAGCTGAAAACTCAACTGAGCGACTGAGCCATATCTGCTTGGCCTGTCACCTTTTCTAGGTCTGAACACTCTCCATCTCATTGCCCTTAAACTCTACCCAAGAGAAAGGGATTTGCCATTTATCAGAAGGGAACAAATATTTGTTTCAAGCACTTTCGAAGAAAGCTCTGCAGTGAAATGACTAAGTCCATGAGCGCTTTGACTTCCTCTGTCCCCTCTGAGATCTCAGAGGCCTCTCTGGGCACTACAGTTTATGGTTTTGAGGTCCCAAAAGCAACAGGAAGGGCAGAAAGAGGCTTCAGACGTGAATCCATGTGTGATAATAAGTACATGAGGTGCGAGCAGTGTAGAGACAGCTGACCCGTGCTTCACAAGCACCTATGAAGAGCCACCTCTGCTTGGGTGCTGGAGATGGAGGGGTGAGTGCCTACCTCTCTTCTCTTGAACTTAGCTGGGGATGCAAAATTACTTCAGGACTTTCATAGCCTTGCTGTTGCCTCTTGGAGCCTTGGTGTCCTCCCCTCACTCGGAAGTCGGGAGGGACACTGCCTGAGAAGGTCACAGATCAGACAGATTGCTCTCCTGAGTAAGTCAAAACTTTGTCTAGGTTTCTGTTTTCTGATGTTGCCTTTTCTCCAGGTGGTGAGGTTGAACGGAGGACCTTACCTCTGTGAGTCGATGATGTCAGCCATTTGTTCTCTTCTCCATCCTTTGTTCCAGGAGTATTTTTCCTTCCAGCCAGACTGGATCTGCTATGCTTTGGGGACTGTCTGAAACTGGAGCCTGATTATTTATTAAGTTGTCTTGCCCCGGTTTTCTATTGAGCTGTGAATGGATTTCTAAATGTGTTTAGTACTTCTATTCATTTGGCCCTATTTACAAAAACCTCAGAAAAAGGCACATATTTTCTCCCTGCTGCCTCTTCAACCTTTCAGCTTATCCTTCTAAGGAGTAGCACAGCTGGTGGTCAACAAACATCTAGGGAGCTCTTACTGAATATGTTTCCAGACCTTTGGGGGGCTCTTGAGATCCAGTGCAATTAACACCTCTAGCAGCTTGAGAAATTAGTGAAGGAATACCAGATTAATATGGTCAATACAATATTTTAAATCAATTTTTCCCTAGTAGGTAGATTCTGGTAGGTAGCTTATTCCAACATAGTGCAAAACTTGGGTTTCTTACTATGGTTTTCGGGGGTCTTGTGAATTAAAATGATAGAAACAGTCTGAACTGGGCATTATCCTCCGTTGGGCCACTGCTATGGTCCATAGAGTAGAGGCCTTTCTAGTTGCTGTCATTCAAAAGTTAGGAAGGTAGTGCCTCTGCTTAAGAAGCCAGGCACTCCTCTCTCTGCAGTCCCTGTGAACCATATATATGTGTATATGTGTGTGTATATATGTGTATGTGTGTGTATATATGTGTATACATGTGTATATATGTGTATATATGTGTATACATGTGTATATATGTGTATACGTGTGTATATATGTGTATACGTGTGTATATATGTGTATATGTGTGTATATATGTGTATATGTGTGTATATATGTGTATGTGTGTGTATATATGTGTATACATGTGTATATATGTCTATATGTATATATATGTGTGTATACGTGTGTATATATGTGTATATGCAATATATATATACACACATATATATATATGTATGTATATATATATATATATTTATAAGGACAGCCTTTTCTGTGTATACTCATGTCTATCACCCTGCTAATGGCTCAGCTCCCTGCCATCTTGGCCTACCCTGTTTCCTCTGACGTCCCAGGACTGGGTACGCATGGGAAAGAGAGCAGATGCTCACTGAACACATATATCTTAAAAATTCTTTGTTCCACAAAGCCATGGTAACACACACCTGCAATCTCAGGTAGGATAGCGAGTTTGAGTCCAGCCTTGGCTACACAGTAAAACTCCATTTTAAAGAAAAAAAAACATATCCTCCCTGTTTTCCTCTCTAATGCATTTCATATTCATAAACTCACTGACATTATCTTTTAAACTTGTTCAAAATTTGTGCTACTTCATAAGTTACCAAGCCATGTAAGTCACCTCTGCTGGATAAAACAGTGTTTTCTCAGGGGTTGTAAGCGTGTTTCCTTCAGGTTCCCAGGGTTTCAGCCTTTATGTGCGGTTTAGTGAGAATGTGAAGTGGTACGGCCACCACAGAAAACAGTATAAGGTTCATGGACAGGTTGTATAGGACCTGCATCGGCACAGGACACACCAAGACCAAGTTCTCGGCACAAAGGAGATTTATGTATCCCAGAGGAACAAAAGGCAGGGAATAAGAGACAAAGACAGGAGACAGAGGACAAGGGAGAAGAGGAAGGGAACAGAGGGAGGAGGAGGGAGGGGGAAAGAGGGAGGAGGAAAGAGGGAGGAGGGAGGAGGAAAAAGGGAGGAGGAAAGAAGGAGGAAGGGAAAGGAGGGAGGAGGAAAGAGGGAGGAGGAGGGAGGGGAAAGGAAGGAGGGGGAAAGAGGGAGGAGGAAGGGGAAAGGAGGGAGGGGAAAGAGGGAGGAGGAAGGGGAAAGGAGGGAGGGGGAAAGAGGGAGGAAGGAGGAGGGAGGAAGGAGGAGGGAGGGATGATATTTGCCCTGGAGAGCAAAAGACTGCTTCTGGATAGAGAGGAGACAGATGTGGTCCAAAGGCAAATGATAGTTTATAAAGGGAAAAGGGGAAACCTGGGTTAGGGTGACTTGGTTTGTTTTGATTGAGCATGTTAGTTAAAGTGGCCAAAGAGGGGGCTTTTGACTGCTGTACTTCAGAATTCTGAGAGCTGGACCTTGGTGGTCAGCCTCAGGAGGAGGAAGTGGCCAAATAAAGGAACAGACCCTGGTGGCTGGCTTTAGGAATGTGACCTATGGTTTACAAGGGAGAGGTCAGTGTGGAAGGGAAAAGCCTGCCACCATGTGTCCCATGCTCAGGCCTGCTAGAGCCCTTCATAGGTGAATCAAGAAAGAAATGTGATATATACATACAATGGAATATTAGTCAGCCTTCAAAAGGACACCCTCTTGGGTGGGTAAGATGCTCAGTGGGTAAAGGCACTTGCTGCCACGCCTGACATCCTGAGTTTAATTCTTGGAACCCACGTGGTTGAAGGAAAGAACTGACTCCAGGCTTCTTCTGACCTTCATATCCACATTGTGGCATGCACAAATCTGCAATGGTGTGTGAGCACACAATAAATGCAAAACCCTCTAACGTGTGTGTGGCAGTGTTCTCTGGCATTTGCAACAACATTGATAAATGACTCAGGCTAGAACCAGAAAGGCCAGTACCATAGCTCATGTCCTCAGGTGTATGTAGGCTATAAAAAAGAGAGCTTGTACAAGCAAGAGTAGAAAGGCAGGCGCCAGGGCTCAGAGGGTGATTATGGGCAAATGGGAAGATGCTGGCCAAACAGCTGTGAGTCCTGGAGAGCCAGCGCCCAGCACAGCACCTGCATCTGATAACACGTAAGAACAGACCTGAGATGCTCCCGTAACACAACAAAGGAACTGCTCAGGGAATGTATGTGCTCATCTACTTGACCATAAGGACCATTTGCTATCTCTACATGTGTCAAAACTTCATGTACTTCTTAAATATATGGGGGAAGAAGTCATGAAATTATCATTTGAAAACAATACCTTTCTTTCTTGTTCCTGTTTCAGGAAGGTGATGTCTGGCCCAACTCATCAGCTGAAATCACTGTGTATTTTAACCCCCTAGAGGCCAAGCTCTACCAGCAGACAGTTTACTGTGACATTTCAGGTATGGACTCATTCTGTGTGGTCACCAGGTTACCAAGTGCTCACAACGAGTGTGTGTATGTGTGTGTGTGTCTATGTATGTACATGTATGTGCATATGTGTGTGCATGTGTATATGTGTGTGCATGTGTGTGTATATGAATGCATGTATGTGTTCACATGTGTATGTGTGTATGTGTACATGTGTGAGTGTGTATAAGAATGTGGCAGAGCATGTACTCAGGCCATACCTACATGATACCAATAGAAGGATCTATGTCCAAAGAGGCATCTCTGAATCCACTTCATTAATGTCTGCCCTGTGGCAAAGCTTCAAAGTAACAACCAATTTGGGTAAAAAGTAATGGGTCAAAGTGAGAGTGAAGAAGGATCTTACGTGGTCTCAAAATGCCGTCCATCAAAACCACCAGTTATAAGCAGAGGAAACTCAGTTTTACAGTAAGGAGCACAGAAGATGGCATCTTAGTTATGGAACAGGTAGTCCCTAGGACCACTCCAATAGGATGCAGCTAGGACACAGCATCAACAACATCAGGACCAGTCTACCACATCCTCTGGCCTGACCCATAGGATGCTTTGGGCAAATCAACTGAAGCATAAACTTCAAGGTCCAGCCTGGATCATCCCAAACTTCAATGTCATGAAAGTCAAGGGAGGAAGGACAAGCTGTCAGGAGAGAGCAAGGGAGTTCCTTGTTCTTCTAGGGAAATTCATCCGTTTCATTATCCACCCACTGATTCATTCATTGTCTGGTAAGACAGTCTCTCACTGCATGTCCTGGGCAAACCTGAAACTCACTGTGTACTCCAGACAGGCTTTGAACTCTCAGAGCTCATCCCTCAGGCTCCCTAATGCTGGGATTACAGATGTGAGCCACCACATGCAACTTCTGTCTTTCTAAACCTTCAGAATTCTTTTAAAACGCCCATAAGAAAAATAGGTAGACAGCAAAATTATAAAGCCAAAAGGTCACCTTTCTCTCCTGGAATTCTGTCGAGAAACATATTCAGCATTTTCTTGTGAACCCTTGCTAACTCTGTATTACTGTGGGTTGGTCTACTGACTTCACACGATTCTCTTTGGTCCTCGATATGAAAGACATGCATTTAATTTACCTTTATCTTCTCTTCCCTTCACTATGCTTATGGAGGTATAATTTACATACAGTAAAATTCACCCTGTCTCTGAATCTTTTGACAAATCTGAGTAGTGTTATCACCCCTACACAAATCAAGATAGAGAAAAATCCCCACCACCCCCACAAAGTTCCTTTATGCCCCCTTCTCTGGCCACACTAAGCCCCCATCTCACCCTCACAAGCCAGTCATTCTTAATGTATTTATTTCATGAGTTTCACTTATAGCTTTAAATTGTATATTAAACCCTAATGGTTTTGTTCCCTGGACCTTATAATAATGTCTCTTGACATGTGAAGATACTGATATACCTAACCTGCTCATCAATAGTCTGCCACCCTCCCCCTCTGCCTTCTATGGGTTTTCCCAGTTCTTTAATAAGCTCATTATTGATAACCATACTACTATTTAGATAGATATAGTCACTCCAAGAATTTATGTCCCTAAGACCTTTGCCAAGGATTCTCTACCTTTATAACCATCAATAGCTGCGCTGCCTACCCCTGCTGTTTCATCTGTAGGTTGCACAGGGTAGTATGGATGCTCTGATTATTTAAACTGGGAGGACTCATGATGAGTCTGCATTCTCCCAAGTCCCATCAACTGCCCAAACCCCCACCATTCTCCCACACCCATGAAGCCACGACTCCTCAGCCAGCCTTGAGCCACCAACTGGAGACTGTGCTAGCCACCCCCCTCAACACACCTAACGTCTTGCATGTCATGGGGATGGTTTTCCTGCTCTCCCATATGATCTTAACATCTCTGTATTCATCCCTAAGCAAAACAGTCTTGGCTTCTTCCTGGTTTTTGAAATTTCTATGTGGGAACCATGCTGTGCAGAGCCTAGCACCGAGACCAGAAAGCTGCTCAACAAAATGTTCAATGAAAGAGCAAATGATTGAAACAAAAGTCCACCCAAATGGGTGCCCGCATTCGGCTTGATTGGGTGTTTTCCTTGCATATGGAGGTGGGATTCTCACCATGGCCCCAGGAAGACTGCAGAATGGATGAGGAGTTTAGGATAGGCATACATCATCTTTCCACGCTGCAGACCACCAGCCAGGGCACCAGACTTCTTAGGGGGTGTGCAGGAAATGTTTGGCAGGGTGTCAGTATTCAGACACAGCCTGGAAGCACGCCAGCGGGCCCCCATGCCACAGGTGGTGGGACCTCCTCCAGCTCCCCAGGGACACTGCGTTGGGCGTCATTCCAGGGGGCAGGCTGCTCTCCAGGAGGTTCCCAAACAATACACCACTGAGCTGTATTCATCCATTGTTTCCGTTGTGCTTTCAAATTCTCCCCACAGATCTCTTATCCTGGGTAGAGCAAAATGCAATCTTTTCTCCATCTGTGTGCCAGTCTTCTTTATTTTGTGAGTCATTTATTAAAAGACTCAGTTGCCAAGGAGGGGCTCTGTTTATGTAGTGATTCCATATCATCATTCCTGTAAGTTCCTGCAATTCTGTGTCCTTTAGAGGGTCATTGGTGATTGCTGGTTATTATCTTCAACCAGCTGGCAACCCCCCCCCCTCCCCCGGGCTCCTATCTCACCAAGGAACACATGTTAAGTGGATAGAAAAGTTCCTTCCTGGCTGTCTTCCTTTTTGTTTGCATTGGCTTTAAGATACTGTAGCAGTTTGTTTCTGTCATCTTGATGCTAAATACTTGACAGAAGCAACTTAAAGGAGGAAGGGCTTAGTTTGTCTCTTGGTTAGAGAGGGTCCAGTCCTTCATGACACCAAATATGTAGCAGCACTTACACCAGTGAGAGCATATTGCTGAGACTCCTCACCTCTCAACAGGGTAGGAAGCAAAATACTTGGGCTGGAAGTGAGGCTATGCTGTAATCCTCAAGGCCTGCACCCCAAGAATTACTTCCTCCAGCCAGGAATTTCCTGATGGTTCTAAAGTCACCAAAAATAGCTCTGCCAGTCCAGGACCAAGTATTTAAATTTGTGAGTCTATGGGAGGGGGGACGTTTTTCATTCAAATTGTAAAAGGTCTCTATGTTCATAGAGGTAAGTGCATAGAGTTCTGATTCTTCACACTTTTTTTTTAAAGAAAAGATTTAGAGTGTGTGTGTGTGTGTGTGTGTGTGTGTGTGTGTGTGTTGCCATTTCTCTCTCTTTGCTTTCAAGTTAGTGTTAAGAATTGTCTTATACTTTACTTTGGTGCCCTGTGGTTCCACTGGGGTGGATTTGCCTTTGCCAGCCCTGTGTTTGGTATTTGCTAAATTTCTTCAGACTGCACATTTCATCAGTCGTGGGAAATTCTCATCACCAGCCTATTCAGTGTTGCTTCCCTTTCTTCTCAGTTCTCAAAACTACTTCAGAACTAATCTCTTCTTCAACCTCCTCGTGTCTCCGTGATTTATATATTTTTATTACATGTATCTGCTTGTGTACCTGTGCATTCAGCACAGCACATGGTGGTGGTCAGAGAATAAATTGGAGTCAGTACTCTCCTTCCACCATGTGGGACCTGGGGATCGAACTCTAGCCATCGGTGTGGGCAGCAATTATTTTTACCCACTGGGCTACCTGGCTGGCCTCTATTCTGAGTATTTTAGTCTAAGTTATTTCTTCTGCTTGACTAATGATTTCTTCAGCTTTATCTATTCTTGGTGCACTCATCTACTCAACTTTAGATTTTCATTGATTGAATTTTCAGAAATCACGTAACTTCATATTTCCACATTTTCCTCCTTCATTGTGGTTTCTAGTACTTACTACACCTCTTCAAATATTTTGAGAATGCCACATTAGAGTTTCTCTAAGAATTTTCTATTATGTACCTCTTGGGTTGCTTGTGGAAAGTACTGATTTTCCTCAGGAACTAGACTGTTCCCTCGGACAGTTGGAAATGTTTATATTGTAAAGTCATTTAACGAGGATACGAGATTTTGAACACACTCTTTTGGGTGGGGATTTTTGTTAGCTCATCTGCCAAGCTTCCTTTGTTCCTGCAGCCTATCTAATGGTGTGTAAGTTTGGATTACAAACCTGTCCATGGGACTTTGATTTCTCCCAGGAGCCTCTTCCCCTCATCAGACTGTTAGCTACATAACAGGCCTCCTCACTTCATCCTTGGCCAGTAGGTGGAAACTTCCTGGGCTCTTTTTGTTGCTGTTGTTTTTAGAGGTAGATTTTCCAGGGTTCTAGGTTTATGGAAAAATCTTGGTTCAATTTTCTGTTCCCAGATAAGAACAAGTTTACATCTTCTTAGTGTGAGGGTAAGCAAGAACCAGGAGACCATAATGCCTGTGCCTACTCTGCAAATCATCAGACCTTCTTAGACTCACGTTGCTATTTTACTAGGCTTAGGTGCATCCCCTCTTCATTTCTAATATCTGGTATTGTCCTTCCTTTATTATGAGCTTAGATAGATTCTAAAATGAATATTTATCTGTTTTTGATTGCTTTATTTACTCTCTACATAGGAAGTGGAAGATCAATCTGAGTTACCTAACTCTGCCTTGTCAGTTCACAGAATTAACGAATTTCTTGTTTCTCAAGTTAATGTCCTTAGAGAATCTGCACCAGTCTCAACTCTGGTTACATTAAAAATGTAGATTATTGGGCTTCATCTATGTTTTATTGAAGCAAAATTCCAAGAAAGCAGTGCTGGAGAATATATGTTTAAAATGAGGACCAAAGCATAATTATAACAAAGTTGCAGGATTAAAGATTCATATACAAGGAAATGGGTTGTATTTCTACATCCTAACAGTAAACAGTGGGAAAATGAGATTTCAGAAAGCAATATTGCTTAAATAGCATTATGAATATAAAGTACTCAGAGAGAAACCGGACAAAATGCAAGATCTGTGTAGTGAAATGTGTGAAAGATTGCTGTAATTACAG